AAATAAATGTAAATACAAATGATTCTAAACTAAATTTTGAATTACTTCGAAGATTTTAATTACATTAAATGTGCGGGAATGAGAAGGAATATCTGAACGTAAATTTGATAAGTTTGAACCATGGAGTATTGATCGGTTTAGTAACATGCAATCACAAAATTCGTGATTATGTTCTGTCCTTTTCTACTTTATTAGCCAATACGTGAACGAACTTTCGCTAAAGATTTTGGCAGTCTGAGAAACACACAAAATAGAATAAGGATAATATGGTACCTGGCACCTATCTTCCAAACTGCAGATATTTAGTTGAATGTAGCCTGTTGTGGAACCTTCTCGAGAAAAATTGTGCGTGCGTGGGAAACAGTTTTACAATAAAAATGTGTTTAGTTTCTTTTCAATTTTTAAGATTACGCGAAACCGTGAATAAATAGCACGTTGTTTTTCTAAGAACGTGTGTACTGTGTAAGTGTCATTCTCATTATACAAACAAAGCATAATTTTTTTTATAGCGGTGAATGCATCTTTATGGTGTAAATTTTAAGGCTAAAGTTGTTTTACAGGTTGATTAAATATTTACGTAAGTTTGCTAGAAGAGACGGTGACTAATTCTTACCGATAAAGATTTGTTGCCTCAGACTCGCTGGACGTTAGCTTAGGTATATTTGATCATCTGTTTCGTTAAGTTATATTTGGTGATTACATCAGTTTTTAATTTACGGCAATAAAAAGAATGTTCTAAAGATTCACCTAGTTGTAATTATGAAATTAATTTTTTGGGAAGTTAATAGGTGAGTAGGTTTCTGGGAGCAGCACAGTAATTAGAACGATTAATAGATTGAACTAATAATATCAATCAAAAACACAAACAATGGTTAATTTTATTTGTTAAAATTGTGAAGTTTTATTGGTGGAATTTGTTTTGTTGAATGTTAATGTGTTACTTCATTAAAAATATAGAACCGAGGTGCTTTGATATTAATATATCTAATTACTAAATTAAAAAAAAAATGAATCATTGAATGGTTAAATTTTTTGTTATTGTAAATGTTTCATCAAAATGTTTGATTCATTTAGCAAAGAAATGCATACCTATGCATGTATGTATAAGGACCTGGTTATTAAAGTGGTGTGTTTTGTCGTTTCACACAGGAACTTATAACTAGGGCCCGGATTTTAAGTCACAAAAAATGAGGAAAAAGGCGCCTAAAATAGGCTTTAAAAAACTTCAAATTAGGTTATAAAAATGGTGAAATAGGTTCAAATAGGTTGATACCAATCTGAAATCTTCAAAATTTCAAAGGAACGAAAATCATGTTTTTTTTGTCTTTATATTGTTTAATAGTTATTCACAATTTTAATTAACATAACATATATTTAATTATTTAATGATTTGAATATAATACTATAATAAAAATTTATTCAAGCGAGCATTTGCATGACAAATTATATATCGCTCTAGATTTTCACATGTCATTGATGTGCGATTATCTGCTAAAATATTTTTTAAACATGAAAAAGATCTTTCTAGGGCCCGGACTTTGGATTTTTTGCCTTTTTGTTTCTTTTTAAAGCATTTACATAAAACTTTGATATAAATGTATTTTACAAAAAAATACGTTGTTTGAGCCTACTTTATAATTGCCTAATTGCCTAAAATGAGAGTATGTATTTATTTACGTTTTTAGTAAAATGGAGTATGCTCTTGTAGCAGATGTCTTGTTTATACTTCACATGCACAAAAACTCGATAAAATTCATTTCCGCTTTATAAAGCATTTGTGGTGTTTACTTACTACTCACCTTTTCCGATACAGGAACTAATCAGAATAAGCAGTTACGGTATCAGATGATTTCTCTCCCAGCAGGAAAAAACTTGGTGTAATGCGGAATATATGACTAAAATGCTTCGGTATCAAATTAACTGTGAACTTCCTTGGCGCAGATTCCTTTCGATGTTCCTAACCTTTCGACAAAATCTGCAGCTATTTTTCACCTACTTACCGACTGTGGAAATGAACTTACTGAGTAGAGTGGAGTTTTATTAACTTACGCTTGGCACATATTGTAGTAATCTAAATAAGAGTTAGCGACCAACTTACTTTAAATATTTCAGTACTCACGAAAATCAGTGGATGAAGTTGCATACCTACTGAATAAGGAATGCCCATTTTGACAACTAGTAAGTATTGGCCGGAATAAGGAACCCTTAATTCCCAAGCGGGGCAAAAAAAAAGGTTGGATTTTATATAAACTAACAGGTCTGTCATTTTGAAGATGAGTATTTGTTGTGAAAAAAAATATTGCCCGAATAAAATAAAATTTCCCCCCTCTAACTCTATCTGAATAATAAACAGTTGTACCTATATACAGTTGCTTTTTTCGGTCGGTATCACTTGCCAGACTGAACATTAGGTATTTTTTTAATATATATGCAGGTATACATAACTTTATCCACTGATTTTCTTGAGTATTGAAATACAAATAAAAAGCAAATCGGTCTCTAACTCTTAGATACAATAGGATCCGTTTAGTGAATAGATAATTTTATTTTCCTTGACGTTGACAGTTCTGAGAGTTTGCATATGCCTGACATTTTAAATTCGTAATGAGAATTTATCTGTTCACCTCTTCCAAACACTTGACATCATTATCTTTAAAATGCCTTATCTAATTCTTGTACTTTTTGGAATAGCATTGCTGTATAATTTAATAATCTACCCTTATTTTTATTTAATATGTAGGATTGTAGGATTTATAATAAAAAGTATAATTTGCGTAAGCAGATTTTTTAATCTCAGAACACATTAGCATGAGATTAATATGGCATTCACAGAGCAGAATTGACAATGAATTGACAATAAATTTGCGAGCAAACAAATTTTGTCCCAAGATAAATAAGTGTCCGTTTTCTAGAAATTTTTTTAACTAAAGGAAAAATGTATTTTTTCAAGAATATTTTTTTTATGTTACGTGTCTTTGGTTTTCAACAAAAGAAATCTACAACATTTTCCACGTAACGTATGGATACAGTTTTGAAAGCTGAAAGCTGTGGTAAAAAGCAAGTTCCGAATTTTACATAAATAACTGAGATATATATCTAGGTACGTAATGAAAAATTTCACCGAAGTTTTAAAAAAACTGATGATGGTGAACTGTTAAAAAAAACTGTCACTGTGTTATTATACAGAAAGTTGTGGACAATCTATATTTAAAATTTCATAATAATGGAGACAGTACATTCTGAAAACGTATTGAACGCGAAGTGTTTATGTTATGATTGTACATATTTTTAGTTGTTAAATTTAAATTAACTTCAGTTAAATTTTTGCAAACAATTTTTCTGTTTATTGTGGTTAAAAAAACCTTGAGCATGATGTCATCTTAAAATAGTATAAATTCAAGTACAACCGTGACGGTGACGGACGGAAGAGTTCTTTGAATGTAGATAATTAATTGTATATTTTCTTAAATTTCAGAAATAGATTCTTAATATTATATACGTATTCTAATATAAATATATAACATATAATATCTGATATTTTGTAGTTGCCTGTATTCATTGTTTAATTGCTATTCTCCTTCTACTCGAAATTTTAAAAAATAATTCTTCAATTTTATATAAATTTATATAATGTAATAATAAATATGTACTTTTGTAATATAATTCGTTTAAGACCTCAGCAATGATTTAATGCTACAGTCGAGTCGGTTTAAATAATTATTTTAAACAAGCAGTTGGTTCATTTCCCTTTTTGTAATTTTGCTTAACAATCCACAGTTTTTTCGCAGCCAATGAAATTTTGATAGGTAGGTTAGTTTATATAAAATTACTTTCATTACCTTCAACGGATTTCACCTTCACCCAATTATCACAGTCAAATCAACATAACGACCATATGTTCGCTCAGTTATTGTGCTGATTCATTACTAAATATTACTACTCAATACTTGACTATATCAGTGTTTCTCTAATGAATAATATTTGTACATAATATAGGGGCTATATTTTTAATAACAATAATTGTATATTTGTGATTTGGTTATACAGGTTATTCGCAGTTATACCTGAAATAATCAAAACGCAAATTCGCGGTAGTCTTGATTTTTAATATCATTTCTATTTTAAGTTAAACATAGTTAGTTGGTTTTGATAATTTGTACATAAACGCCAATTGTTGGATTAAAATCAAAATCATACAAATTCAAATCAAGAACTCGTCAGCGCATCTCCTGTACGGACAATCTTTTCTACACAACGATGAAGCACTCACCATATATCACAATCATATCAGTCTTTTAGTCGTTTTAACACACTCTGCGTCAATTTTTACCAAATGTTAGTTTTATCATGACAGTATTTGACACTATTTACGTCATTGTTGTTAGACAAAACAGATGAACTATTTTTAAGGCGTGGAGCCTGCATATCACATAATTTTTGAAAGAATATTTTGAAAATAACATTGCATCTTTTTTTTAAATTCAAGTAAACTCAAAATAAACAGTAATAAAATCATGTTCATTATTTTTTTTCGTGATACATGGCAGAGTATTAATCTGTGCTACTGACAAATCCAAATTACTGTCAAATCATGTTGTGTATTATGATATTATGCCAATTAATTGTACACAAGCTTCACATTATTACGAAACTATATTTCTATGCGTAAGGTAAGTGTGATAGGAAATTTTCAGTTTTGAATCAGTAAAACATAATTTGAAAACAATGACGATATAAATAATTATTATGCTTTGACGAGCCTTAGTTAAAATATAATTGAGTTTTGTTTATTCTAACCCGAAATGTTATGAGATTAATGTAAAATTACCGTATTTATAGTACAAACGTATTTGATTTTCAGCTGCCCAAAGTTCAAGTTTAATGCAAATTACGACTTCTTGTAAACAAGATCTGATAAATAATATGTGAAAAATAAACCCTTTTTAGATTAGAATTATAAACATACGTTTTCCATACTTGATAACATATACATTCACTACAGATTGGGTTAATGCCTTTAATTGTTAAACTATGTTTCGTTTAAAACGATTAATCCAGTGGTACCCTGGATACAGTAAAATACCATACTTTGTGTTGGTATTTGTGTATAGTAATTAAGGTTCTTTTTTGTGTTCTAAAATTTAGTGGATGGAAAGAATCCTACCTGTGATTTATTCTGGAAGTGTTCAGTGCAATAACTATGTTATTAAAAATTGCAAGAATGTTAGTAGTTATATTTGTGTACAAGGTAGGGAAATTATAAACTTTTTTTGTAAGGGGCAGTAAATAGGACCATTTTTTTTATTTATTCGAAAAACGTTTTCAATGCACGATCATGAACTATTGCTCCATACTATTTGAAATGTTTGCGTGCCATACATTTTTTGTACCTACTCAGAACAACTATGTCACTGCTATATTTATATAAATAAAGAATGTTGCTGCCTGCAATCGCAACGCATTTAAATTTTTATAGTCGCAGTTAATCTTTACCGGGAAACATATATAAATTCCCATGTGCATTGAAATTTCTATTTAGCTAATTTCAATATATTCTTCCATAGTTGCGCATATGTTATTATTTTGATGCTACTACACTGTTGCTGAAAGAGACACTATAATCTTATAGGCGCTCTTTTTAAGTTAATTTACAATAATAATTAATAGCAGACCGCAATATGTGACAAGGTTATTAAATGCATAAATTATTTTAATGGAAAATATTGGAAGATTATTCACTAAAAAAGGTTACGTTTCAGTTAATTTACGCTTAGTTTGTGTAATTCAAATTTATAACTGTTGTGTACGAATAAATTTCATATAAGTATTGCTTTGGATTGATTTTTGGTATACATGTTTCTCCGGTAATTAAAAATTAAAATTAAAACGTATATCTAATAGATATACGTAGGTATAAATCAAAATACGGTACTATTGTTTACATACCTTTTTTCTGTTTTGAAAATTTAAGATTGTAGCGGACACGCTTTAGTACCGGAGCGCTCCGCTAGTACCCTTTCGAGGGCGCTACCGACACAGCACCGTATCACCCCCAAACGAACCACCCTCGCTGCCCATTGGACGCCACCCCTACTCCGATCTTTTGCAGAGGGGACAACCCCTATAAAAGAACCACCCCGTCCCAACAGACTTCAGACAGAGCGTTGCGCTTGGCTGGGCTAACACAACCTCTACTTCTAGTGGCGCTTGGCAGGGCTAACACCACTACACCCTCTTCAGAGAGAGCGTTGCGCTTGGCTGGGCTAACACAACCTCTACTTCTAGTGGCGCTTGGCAGGGCTAACACCACTACACCCTCTTCAGAGAGTGCGTTGCGCTTGGCTGGGCTAACACAACCACTCAACTATAGTGGCGCTTGGCAGGGCTAACACCACTACATCCTCTTCAGAGAGAGAGCGTTGCGCTTGGCTGGGCTAACACAACCTCTCGATCTCTAGTGGCGCTTGGCAGAGCTAACACCACTCCCTTGGGCTTACGCAATCTGGGCCTTCGCTCCGTATAGTTACGCTTGGCAGGGCTTACGTAACTATTGCCGAAGACGGACGCAATTCACCCTCGACGACGCCCCCGGCGAGAGACTCGCCTCCCCGGACTCCCGTGAAGAAGACACCAACCGCTCGAAGACCTACGACGCTCCGCGTCCCAGAAACCGGCGAGGTGCCGCCACTTCGAGAACCCACACCCATCCATTGAATTGTATTATATTTTTTATACACATCAATAAACCACTAAAACACCACAAATCTGGCGCCCAACTTAGTGGCTCGAAGAAGGCAAAACACCATACCGTGCAGGACATTTCTCGCCCGCTGAGCAACCTGTTAAAGAAAAACGCACCCTGGGAATGGGGCCCCGCACAGCAGGAAGCCTTTTGCTCGCTCAAAAACTGTCTGACTACAGCCCCCATCTTACGGCAGGCCGATCACACAAAGCCATTCACGTTAAGAACCGACGCCAGCTCCTTAGCTATCGGAGCTGCCCTCCTCCAGGGGGAGGAGAACGAAGAACTCCCGGTGGAGTACGCAAGCCGCCTCCTCACCACCGCGGAGAAAAATTACACAACTACAGAGCGCGAAGCCCTCGCCATTGTCTGGGCCATTGGCAGGTTTCGCGGCTACATCGAAGAAAACTCGATCGTTGTGATAACCGACCATCAACCTCTACGATGGTTAATGACGCTTAAATCCCCGACAGGAAGATTGGCGAGATGGGCTCTGCAACTCCAGCCCTACAATCTAACCATACGGTACACCCCCGGAAAAGCAAACGCCCTCGCCGACCTACTATCACGACCTCAATGCGACCTCGAGACTCGACCCGCCTGCCCGGTGTGTACCATCCACGTGGGCCTACCGACTCAGGGAGCTCGAACACTACGAGAAGAACAATTGCAAGTTCCGGAAGTGAAAAAAATCATCGAGGACTTGACCTCTACAAATCCCGAGGTTTTTCAACCATGGTCCGCAAAAGGCTATGTACTTAACCAGGGCGTTTTGTACCATTACGCCCAAGACGGCGACGAAGAAGACGCCCAACTTGTCGTCCCAACACAGGACCGCCCTCGTGTACTCAGGGAGTACCACGACGCCCCTACGGCCGGTCACTATGGAATAGCCCGCACTCTGCAGAAGATCACCGCCCGATACTTCTGGCCCGGCATGAGAAGATACGTTACCGACTACTTAAAAACATGCCTAGAGTGTCAACGGTTTAAACCCGCCAACACCAAACCCGCTGGACTTCTTCAGACACCTGTTCTGCGACAACGCATGGAAGTAATATCCGTCGACCTGTTCGGACCACTTCCCCCAGGTGACAACGGAGAGAAATGGGTATTTATCGCCCAAGATTACGCTACTAAGTGGGTAGAATTATTTGCGCTCGTTACCGCTACCGCAGAAGCTTGCGCCTGGACCATCGTTAACGAACTCGGACTTCGATACGGACTTCCACGCCGTATCATCAGCGACAACGGAACGCAATTTATCAGCGCCGTAATGCAGAAAATCACCTACTGTTTAGGAATTACGCAATCATTCACCCCGGTATACCACCCCGAGGCCAATCCAGTAGAGCGACGCAACCGCGACCTGAAGACGCAAATCTCAATTCAAATCGGGGAAAGCCCACACTCCACGTGGCCCTCCAAACTACCCAGTATACGCTTCGCCATGAACACGTCCAGAAGCCAAGGAACCGGCTTCACTCCCGCGTATCTTATGTTTGGGCGTGAGCTCCGAACCGTCGATGACGTCACCCACGATTTAAGAAGCGTCATCGTCTCAGAAAACTTTGTTGCCGAAGCCACCCCGAAGCTGCTCCTACTCGCAGAGGTTCTGAACTCCGCCCGGGAACATCATGAGCAAGAGCAAACTGTCCGGAAACGGTACGCTGACCAATTCCGCCAGCCAAGTCACCCCTACCAGATCGGAGACTTGGTGCTCGTCGCCGTACACCAAGCCAGCAACGCCAAACAAGGCACAACTGCGAAATTCCTTCCCCGCCGTGATGGCCCCTACGCAATCCGCGCCCTGAAAGGGCCCACCAGTTACGAGTTGGAGACCACGGACACGCCGCCCCAGGTCATCGGCACCTACCACGTCTCGCAACTCACCGAGTTCCATGGACCCGTCAAGACACCACCAGCTCCGGTAGCTCCCGTCCGTCGACGAGGTCGTCCACGGAAGAAGAATAGCCAGGCCCAATAGCGAGACGCTTCATTGGTCCTGAGGGGGAGACTGTAGCGGACACGCTTTAGTACCGGAGCGCTCCGCTAGTACCCTTTCGAGGGCGCTACCGACACAGCACCGTATCACCCCCAAACGAACCACCCTCGCTGCCCATTGGACGCCACCCCTACTCCGATCTTTTGCAGAGGGGACAACCCCTATAAAAGAACCACCCCGTCCCAACAGACTTCAGAGCGTTGCGCTTGGCTGGGCTAACACAACCTCTACTTCTAGTGGCGCTTGGCAGGGCTAACACCACTACACCCTCTTCAGAGAGAGCGTTGCGCTTGGCTGGGCTAACACAACCTCTACTTCTAGTGGCGCTTGGCAGGGCTAACACCACTACACCCTCTTCAGAGAGTGCGTTGCGCTTGGCTGGGCTAACACAACCACTCAACTATAGTGGCGCTTGGCAGGGCTAACACCACTACATCCTCTTCAGAGAGAGAGCGTTGCGCTTGGCTGGGCTAACACAACCTCTCGATCTCTAGTGGCGCTTGGCAGAGCTAACACCACTCCCTTGGGCTTACGCAATCTGGGCCTTCGCTCCGTATAGTTACGCTTGGCAGGGCTTACGTAACTATTGCCGAAGACGGACGCAATTCACCCTCGACGACGCCCCCGGCGAGAGACTCGCCTCCCCGGACTCCCGTGAAGAAGACACCAACCGCTCGAAGACCTACGACGCTCCGCGTCCCAGAAACCGGCGAGGTGCCGCCACTTCGAGAACCCACACCCATCCATTGAATTGTATTATATTTTTTATACACATCAATAAACCACTAAAACACCACAAGATGGAATAAAATTACAGAGAAATTTAATGGGAAAGCACCAATAATGTAATAATAAATCAATGCTAGTGTTTTGCTGACGTGTTTATGACTATTATTTATTTTACACTCCACAAAATATTGCAGTTCGATTTTGATAAGCATTAACTTCTTGGACAGTCAGTCGCACCTATTTTTGTTAAAAAAGTAAAAAGAACGAGTATAAATATTTAAAGCTGACTGTAGTTGTTTTTAGATAAACAGCTTGAATTCGTTTAGTTCGTCCTTAAAAAATAAATTGCTTTTTATGTGTGCATAAAATTTAATTTCTGTACATACCCACGGTCTAAGTTGTGATTTAAACGAAACGTGTTGGTTGGGTTTAAAACAGGTACAGTAGAGAGCAAGTACAAACGTCCAAATCTGAGTTCTTTATATGCTTGCATATTAAAAACAAATGATATGCTGATGCATAAATAACAATGTTATTATGTTTCAGAACATGGGTGGTTTTACTCAGCGTCCATGGACTCCAACGAAAAGGCGTGGGCCAATCGCCGCAGAATATAAGAGTCCCGGTCCAGCATGTGTTTCTCTTCCCTCCTACATAGGTAAAGTTATGTAACTATGTTTGCAAATTATTGTTATTCATTTCGTTATTAACAAATTTGTAGTTTTGAACATGAATGATTCATGATATGTTAGCCAATCGCGATGCAAAATTAAATTTGACTGTTTTATATTAAATTACTTATTTTATCTTACACAACACGTTTTATGTAATTCTATTTGAATTTAATTTATATGCTACCTAACTTTATATGTTTCAGAGTAAAACTTTATTGTCTACGTTAAACTGAAAAAATCGCTTTAGAGTATTGAAATATTGAACATATTTATGCGTATGCTGATAATAATTACTATCTGTGACCATACTAGATAAATTTAGCACTTGTTGTCACTATGTAAACCACAAAGAAGTAACATACTGTGTCATCTCTAATTATTAATAGCATTTTTAAACTAATTACAAATAACCAGCACTATGTGAAACTAGATTTATCATTTATGTGATTTAAAATATTTACCTAATCTCATAGCATTTTTATTTCTTTAATTTTCGGTTTATTGTAAAAACAGTTTGTTCCCTTTTAGATTTATATTGTAATTTTAACTTATTATATAATTAATATTATTATTATTTTATTGTATTCAGAATATAATTCTATATATTGTCTTTGCCATTTCTACTGAAATACCACGTGTTGATTTTGCTTAAAATTTACCAATTGGTAACAGCTTTCGGTTGATTGACAACGGCTTTTAGTTAGAAAATTGTCTGAATATTGTTTACTGAAAGTTATTGATGAAAAATGCATGGACTATATTCGAAATATTTAATTATTTAATGTAATATGACCAGATTCATTTATTTGATTAAGTAGTACAAAAATCAAACAAGTTAGTATTTTAGTAGAACAAAACCCACATGCAAATTCTAACAAATTAAAGTTGGAAATAAATGTTTGGAGGAGTTACGGAATGATCAAGAACCGGATTTTGATAATTATGTTGGCGCCCACAGACAATTTCGTCGACCAGAATACATTATAATTACTGAAATACATTACAAAAACCTCAATTGACAAGTTTTTATTAATAGTGACTACTTTCACAGGTAAAAAAACTTCGGAATCGAAAACCGGGCGAGCACCAGCTTTCAGTTTTGGAGCAAGACACAATGGCAAAACAGAAAGCATTGGACCTGGGCCCGGACAATACAATGTAACAGGACTTAGCGCAAAAGGTTAACTTCAGAATATTGAAATATATATTACAAAAAAAATTATATTTAAATTAAACAAAGTATAAAGTTTAAAAAATATATAAGTACATTATTTTTTCGAATTTGAAAATTTTCATAAAAATAAATGTTCGTAGGAAAAGATACACCTCCAGCTGTTAGTCTTCACGGACGTCCAAAGGATGCTAAACCGGAAAATTTTCCAGCACCGGGAGATTATAATCCCGACAAAGCTGAAAAAGTTATTCATGATAATGCACCTAGATACACTTTTGGATTAAAAACTAATGTTGAAAAACCTTTAGAGACACCAGGTACGTTTTTAGTAGCGTAGATAATTTTAATTGTTTCGATTAGGTATAGGTATATTTAAAGATTAATGCAAGCTTAGCGCTTTTAATAATGCCCTAATGATATAAACTTTCATAATAAATAGTGGATTTTTGTAAGACTAGTTTAACCAATGTCACTGTGGTAGGTATTTTGAGTAATAAAAAAACATTATGACTAGAAAACTGTGAATTTTGTACTAAACTACAATATATTGCACCATCAAGTGCGTTACTTTGCATTTTTTTTTCGGTGTATGTTGTATAAGTAGCTACTTTTATGGACAAACAAATAATTCCTGATGAATCTAAATTACAAAATTTTACTTTGTGTTGGTACTTATTATGCAATTACGATGTAAGTATACTGAATAAACGAGAAATTTTTAATCTGAAATTATCAAAAAAAAAAAGGATGCAAACAGAATATTTACTGCGCTTTCCATGCACATTGCAGTTTTTCGATTTCATTATTATTGCGACAAAGCAAAGTAACACAACTTTATGGTTACATTCAAACTAAAATTTTTCTGTAATTTTATAACTTCTTTTAAAAATTATTAATTTACTTAGAGCTAATTAATTTAACTAATTGTTAATAGATTGTGGTTAAAGGTTTTTTAAAATTGTTAACACAGCACCTAACGCCTATAAACCGTTTCGACGAACAAATGCTCATCGTTATTCTTTTGGGATAAGAACACCTACTCACAGAGTGTCTGACACACCTGGTTAGTTTATTGTTTTAGTTCTGTTTTTGCTTTATTTTTATTTTGTTAATATTTATTTTTAGCACCCAATGTGTACAATGTACCAGATTCGGAAAAAAAGTTGCACGAATACTCACCTAAATATAGTTTTGGTGTCAAAACACCAAATGAAAAACCGTCCGATACACCTGGTTAGTTTATATTATATCTCTTCGGTGTGCAACACCCATGGGTGTAATGTTTTATTTGAATTTTAATGGTGATGGGATTTGCTTAAATAAACATGTAAACTTTTGTAATTAACGAGTAACATCATTTCTGCATATTTATAAATTTGTTTATTGTCAAACATCAGAGTTCAGCAATTTTTAGATTTTTCTATTACTATTGATGATCAAATTTTTTAAATTAAATAATTTTGCTAAACTCTTTTGTTATAAGCAGGAATTCGTTTTACTTAATTTTGTTGCACCGTTTCCAGAACTGCTTTAAAAAATAAAACAGCTTACATTTATTTAAAAAACTAATGCCAACATTTCAACTTAATATAGCTCCCAATGTGTACAACGTACCAACTGCCGACAAAGTTTTACATGAAACTTCTCCCAAATTTAGTTTTGGGCACAAGGTGCAATTGGACAAACCTTCGGAAACCCCTGGTTTGTGTCATTTATATATGTATTAAATATTTTTAACATTAACTCTTTTATTTGGTTACACTTATTAACAAATGAATAGAATGAAGTGAAGTAAATGTGTGACGAGAAAAGTTGAAAAAGGATTTTCAGATAACTCTGGTTTTTTTTGTATCTTGCAATGTAGGTACCTACTTCTAGACAAATTCTGTCTTCTCTAATGCTTTATTGCAAACATCTAATTTTAAACTTTGAGGTATTAGTTTCAAACTACTATGAGATACAAAATCATATATCCTTATGCCTTTATGAATCTAGTCCAAATTACAGCAGGTATGCATAAATTGAAATTTCATTTTTGTTTAGTCATTTGTTTATAAAATCACAGGATGCATTGTGATATACATATATGTACTTAATCCCATATTAATATATTAAAGCAAAGCACGCTACTTTTCTTCAAAATACAGTTTTTTTTAGTTGTAAGTAATATATGTTGTCTTCATGCAGAGTTATTGTAAATGTTTTTTTGTCGTTGGTGATCATAGACCGTAACTTTTTTAAGCCACCTACTATGTAAGAAAGATTTATAATAACCCTGTATTGTAATGCATTTAAATTTCGTTGATATAACTTTACCTATTGATGCAAAATGATTCAAATTAAATTTGAATTATTTTGGTGTTAAATAAATTGTTAAAAATTACACTAGCGTAAAATTAATGAATTAATGATGTAAAACGGTAAGTACAAAAGCGCGCGTAGTTAACAAGAGAGCGCATTTACCTCACTTTATTCTAATAAATAATTGCATAAAACTTAAACACAATATTTTAGCTAAATAATAATAACGATTTAACAACTCATTTCAGGGTATCATGGTAATATGTTTACTTTCTAAACTGCATTAGTTTCTTTCTTTTGTTGGAAGTTGCCTACACTTTTTTAAAGCAACAAAATATTTCAGTAAGAATTCGATTCATTTAATTTTTGTTATCTAGCTCCTAACGTTTACAATGTACCGAATGCTGACAAAGTTTTGCACGAAAATTCACCGAGGTACACATTCGGACAAAAGGTTCAACTGGAAAAACCTTCGGATACTCCTGGTTAGTTAGACAATTTCTTTGTACACTTTTTTGGTTAATAGTTAAACTAAAGTAACTGGAGATTTTTAGTGTCGACATATTTCAACAAACTTTATAACAATTGACAACTTGTGTTTAATATTTTTAACCACGCACCTTACTTTATGTATGTCTTATCTTGCAAACATTTTTCGAATCTGGGGTGCATTACGTTTGTTTATTTGTGGAATGAGTTTTTATGTTTTTATTATGTTTTTCTATCTTAGCACCGAATGTCTACAACATACCAACTGCTGACAAAGCTCTACATGAGAACTCACCTAGATACAGTTTTGGAAATAAGGTTCAATTGGAAAAACCTCTGGAAACACCTGGTTGGTTAATTCTTCATAAATCTCTTGTATTCAGTTTTGATATACCTACCTGTGACTAAAAACGATTTTTTACACACATTATGTTTATATTTTTGCTTTCCGTTTATAACATCATTTTCTGTTTGACTTGTGCATTATTCGAAAATATTCGTGAATAATTTGAATGCTACTCAAGATGAACATTATCTCTACTGGGTACTTATTATTCTTAAAAAAAAAAATAACACAACTTTATATTTTCATCACGTTAAAATTGTCTTCAGACAGAAGTGGTGTTAATTTAAATCATCTTTTAGCTCCAAATGTGTACAACATACCCTCTGTTGTTGGAGATAAAAAATCGGCTCCCGCTTACACCATATCAGGAAGAAACAAAGATCTAATTGATGAGCGTGTAAAAAATCCCGGTCCAGGTCAATACAACAATGTGAATCCAGAAAGTTACAAAAATCATTCACCAGCTTACACAATAAGTGGAAGAACTAATATTCCCATTGATTCAACAACCCCTGGGCCTGGTGTCTATTGTCCGGAAAAGGTGACATTTCTTATTTAGTATTTTACCAACAATAACTGTACTAACTATATTTTTAAACTTTTGCTAACTTGATAGGTCAATTGCCATCTTCTCCATCCTCCAAGTCATTCTTTTGGTATAAAACATTCACCGTATTTAGGATCTCAGAATATGTTTTTGAGACGTGAAAAAACTTCCCTCCTTTTTTAAATTCCATTTCTGCTACTAACGTCTACACTATTAGCTAGCCTGAAATATGTTTATTAACAGGACGATGATTAACACTTTGTATTTGTTTTGTTAAGGATTTTAAAATTTATTGTTGTTATTGTTATTTTAGGTTGACCTTGATTATAACCCTGCACACAGTTTTGGCATTAAGCACTCCCCATATGCGGATCACTATTAAATAAAATGTAATATTGTTTACATTCACTACATTCTGTTTTTGAATATATTTTTATTTACTATAACCACTTAAATTTTAATTTCATATTTGGTATTTCTGCTTGCACTTAACGAAAGGTCGCTTCATTGTTGTTGCAAACATATTTATAACAAGTTATTATGAAGCCTTCATTAATCTTTGTTATGTAAGCTAGTCCTAGCTGTTCTCATTATGTTTGTATTGTCTTTATTTTAGTAAATATATTTATTAACAAATGATATATGTATTCGTTTTTTATTTGTTTCTGACTAATCAAAAAGTAACGTAAAGTGTTTTTAAGGCCAGTCCCCACGTTTTCTCAGCGGAATTTTCGCTCTATTTTCAAAATGTAATATCTCCGTTATTAACAGATCTATAGTTTTCAAATTTTAAATATATGTTGTCCATAACTTTCTTTATATAACGCAAGGGCAATTTTGTTAAAAACAGCTTGTGATCATATTATTTTTTTAATTTTAGTGAAATTTTTGCATAACGTATTTTTAAAAATCAATATCTCAATTATTAAATAAAATTTCAGAACACGGTTTTCAACACTGTTTTCAGCTTACAAAACTCCAGAAATCATACGAGACATATCGTCGATTTTATTTTTTAGAAACGATACACAGTTAAAAAAAGCGTATATCATGGAAGTTGCTAACTTTTATTTTTACTATATCTCAGTCCCAACAAATAAAGTCAAAAATCGACCTCGTAGAATTTCTCAAGTTTTGCAAGCTGAAAACAGTGGTGACAACCCCGTTCCAAAATTTCCATAAATAACTGAAATATTGATTTTATGTCGTACATATTATTCTGTCGTTCCAACAAGCCCAAAGCACTTTCATCACCTTTAATACATAACACTAAAGATTAACGATACGATTAATACTGTTACGAAAGAAACCCATACGACGCTTATGGGTTCTAGTTCTAGTATGTACGGCTATGAGACTCATCGGCCGGTCGACGTTCGCTAACGAAAAGCCTGGAAGCAGAAGTCGCGATGGGCATCCCAAAAGAATCTCGAAGCGGCGTTCTCGATCCATCGAGAGGAACGTATACGTTTAAATAAAGGCCACCGTCGGAGACGATTGTAATTCAATTTGTACATAATCGCTGCGTAATCAGTCGTGTAAATTTGAGTTATTGAGAAATAAATTGTTGAGTTTACCCACGTCGATTTTCAATTACCGATCATCGCAACAATATTCTATAGTACAGTCGCGGACAGTGAATTTCGTCCACACAATTCACGCGAATTCACAAAAATTCACTGTAGTCGGTCCTTTATTGTCATGATGAATTATCACGATGACTGACGTAAGTATTGTCAGATTTAATTTAGCTCCGAACCTGCTATCGATTAGTTATTTTAATGAAGGTATGTGGCTACACTTTTGGGCTTATCGCGGACTAGTGTTAGTTATCGTATAAAAAAATGGAGAAAAGGTGAGCAACTTGATCCCCGTCCAGGTACGTATCGCCACGTCGCCGTCACATCACCACGGTTGGTGGAAATCATGCTGCCGTTCAAGTTGTGGAACACATGCCATTTACAACTGCAATTGAAGCTGCAGATCATGAGTAAGAACTGCCCGACGACGCATTAGGGAATGAGGACTTCGAAACGATACAGTATAGAGATTGGGTTTGTTTTACAACAACTCATGTAGGCTGAAGAGTATTGGAGTTATTTTCTCAAACGACAAAATCTTTCAATCTTGCCAAATAGCAAGTTAAAAGTATACAGGCCTCGAGACATACGATGTAATCTTCAAACATGTTAACAAAGCGAGACATCTGTCAACACGTGGGCATGGATTTCTGTAGGGTCATGTTACACGTTCCAGAAAAATAGAATATTTTGATTGTTGTATTCTAAACACCTACCTGTGCTGCATGTAATAAAGTTTTTTGAGTTTCTTTTATAATTTGAAATTGTTTTCTGTTTGGTCTTGCATTGATTTTTAACCCGAAAAGCAGGTATGATAGCAGGCTTAATTACCAGCAGATAATAATTAGCTTCGTTGGAGTGCATGTTTGTTAGCAGGAGTTATTTAAAGGTTAAAGCGAAAATTTAGCTACTAAATTTAGGCCGTGTCGTACCTGTTTTACTTTACTCTTTCAACTTCTCAGAAGTATTACGGAAAACAAATGTAAACTATTCTCAGGAGCATGTTTCTTCCATATCCGCCGCAATCTTAGTTGCAATTATATTTACTATTTTTAGTAATTATTAGGTAGGGTATAAATAGGTACGCAGTCGCAATTTATTAACTAGCGAAGTGCACTACTCGAATTCTCATTCTTGTAGCTTACGAAATTTTATTAAAATTTAATTGCACGTATAATTGTTAGATTTTAGGGGATATCACACATATTTAGCGACTTATTAATTTTATTAGGTTTCGTAAGTTATTTCCGTAGATTTTAAGAATGAGGGAATTGAAAGCAAATGCGTAGTGTTTTTATCACATTCATGCATGTTTTAGTTATGTAAGTTTACCCTTATGTTTTATTTTGTTTTTTTGCCTGCTACGTATTGAATTATTTTTCAATAATCATGTTTGTAGTTTTATATTTCAATATAAGTATTGTTATGAAATCAACACTACGTCGCCCCGGTACAACGCCTATGGATTTTCTAGAGGCTTTTCTAGTAAGTATGTGTGGCGATAATGGGTGACTCATCATCGGTGACGGCAGCCGGGAACGATCGAGTTAGTCAACAAGTGAAGTCCAATAATGACGGAACTAGTCAAATCCATTCCAATTGAATTGGAATTATTCTGTAAATATCGCTGTATATTTGTTAGTCCTGTAATTTTGTATTACTCACAAATCAACTGTTGAGTTTTACTCACGCCGATTTTAGTCACCGATAATTGTAACAGTATTAAAATGTTAGGAGCTTTTAATTATTACCTCTTCCCCCACTGGCAGTTTAGCTCTCCATTTCCAGGGAATGGGCCTATACCCAAATAAATAATTTTGTTAGTGTTCAAATGCTCAGCCGCCATCTTTAAACAATTTGGACACGACAGTAAATAATCTTTCCGGTTATTTTCAATTTTATGTTTGTAACCCATGGATTTAATAATTTTTAGCATGTTTTAGTTTCCCGTTCAAAAATTTTTGTAGGTTTTCGCTGCATTTTGAAGTTTGTTCGAGCTTGCTTGTTTCGTGACGAGAAATTTGACGTTCGTCGACGTTTCAACGGTATCAAACGTAGTGCTATTATACGATTATCAAAATCACCATTGGTGTTCCAACATGTGGTGGTCACTAAGCATGCGGATGGAAATGAAAAATCTGTATTTTCCTATTTGGGAAAATCTCAAGAAAAGATGGAGATCGTCGCATCTCCCCTCCCGGCGAATCTATCGCAAATGCTTCCTTTAGCTGTATGAATGTGTAAAGATGATACTTCTCTGTAATGCACATGATCAAAATTGTATAGATGTGGAAATAAATAATTTTAAAAAATCTTCGCTTTGGACGTTACACATTTCACATAGGTAAATCAAATTTATGCGCGAAGTACAATATAAATTTCCAAACATTAAAAGTTGTATCGTAAATATTTTTATTCATTTGCCATTAAACAATTTTTTAGTAGGTAACACTTTTAACACATAAAAATTTGTTTTATTTAACGCCCAGCAGGATGACCATATAAATCAAGAGCACCATTAGCATTCATTACACTGAGTCGGTGGAAATAATCTCCTAGAGATCTAAAAATGTCAGCAGGACTTTGGTTGTCACCAATGGTAAATCCACGATGACTGGAAAAGATGTTAGGGGCGGGACCTATGCCATAAGTGTTGGTTAAAACCACAGCGAAGACGAAAAGAAGTACCAGATATTTCATTTTAAACTGAAATAAAATAAACTATAATTAGAATTATTAAGCTAAATTAGACAGGCATAAATGTAACAGTTTTATAACACAAAGTCATTTTCGTACCACATACGTTTTTTGAATTCGCAAAGAGCAGAAATAATAGGAGGGATAATTCACTATAAAAGCTCCTATCTAACAGCAACAGTTTTTATAGTGAAACTTATCAGAAAAGTGTAAACAATACTTCAGAAATTGATTTTAATATGATAATCTATATTAAATAATAGCGCCAGTATTAATTAATATTTGTTAATTAACTTATTTAGCGACATTATCGACAAAAATAAGATAAAGAAATAATAGTGTAGTCTTTGTCATTTCTATTGAACCATTGCTTGTTAGTCGTAAATTAGGCAACGTTCATATTCAAAAAAAATTCTAATTGAAAGTGCTCCAAAAGAACGAGTGCTATAATTGTCGTATTAAATTAGTGATGACATCATCTCAAAGAATTCTACATTAAAATGATTTAAATGTTATACAATAATACACTGCTACACGTACTTGTAGTGTACGAATCTAAGTACTTTGAGTTTTTTCTCTAAACAGCCAAATTTTCGCAAAACAGCCAGTCTGGAGAAATTTTATTATACTGTTTTCGTACAGTATAATAACATTTTCGCACTGACATATTTTTTTTCTCTTGCACTAAGACTAGTATTATCTATGTTGAAATTATGATGTGCTGATTGCTTCAATAGGTGGTGGTGTTTTATTTGCTGCAAAAAATTTGCATACTTTCGTACAAGTAGACCTTTCTTCAATTACTGATGCACTGCCTGATATTGATATAATTTGTGTTATTAAATTATTAGTAAACGCTTTATTCTTTTCTCTACGGGTGAAAAATTGATCGATAATAGTTTTGAAATAATTTCATGTAAACATTTCAAGTTTCGTTTGATTTACAAAATTACGGATTATGATAAAAAAAAAACACGTGAAATTAGCCTTGTCCCATATAAAACGGATAAAGATATTCATATTTTGTAAATGTCATTGTTTTTAGCTTGAAGATGGAAGTTTAATTTAGTACATACCAAATATCCGTTGAAATTTAAATAGACATAGGTTTGTGTCGTGACACCGACGCTATATATACGTCATTTTTGCACTGTTCTAAATTAAATTTCCCCCTAAAGCTAAGAATAATAGCGTTTGCAGTATTTTAATTAAATTCAATTGAAAAAACAATTTATTTTATGAATTAAATAAAATGACTTACCTCATTTTTCCAGAGAATACAGTTGTGCTGCTTGATATTGAACTGTGTCTATCCAAATTGATAGATTGTTCTTGTTAAAAAATGGATGTCATCCAAAAATTTTATTATAAAAAAACTCAGCTGAAACATATCACAGCATGCTTCTGTACCTGTAATCCACGCATCTTCTTATTTAACTTGTAGGGGTTCTAAAAAACAAAACTGAATTTGTAAAATCAAATTTTATATTTTATATAAGAAATTGATCCTACTTGAGGGGCCAGTGGGCCAGGTAAGTTCTCCCTAAATAAATATAGTCCTTTTTTTTAGTGGTAGTGAAACTCAAGACCGTTTAAAATTTTGTGAAGTAAAGTGAGTATATTAAGGAATGGGAGACGCACTAGGACGGAATGGGACTATTTGGCGCGGCCGACTTGACGCGGCCAACTTGGCGCGATCCATTTTGGCGCAAAGCCAACTTGGCGCAGGGACACTTTGGCGCAAGCCATCTTGGCGCGAGTACGTCGGGATATAATATAAAAAATATTTATTGTTCGTACTGTGGTTGGCACCCTGTTATTTATGCTAAGTGTAGGCAATCAAATACACAGTTTCATTCGCACAAATTCCAATAACTAAATGATCCACGAAGCAAGAAGTTCCACGTTTAGGAGTATGTTTATAATGGGGTGCAGGGCGCGAAGCGCCCATGTGTCCATTAAAAAGTCGTCATTACCCCTTCACACGTTGGAGACTATAAAAATTAAGTTATGCTAACAACGGGTGCAATTTTTGTATATTTATACCTATTTTTCTTGGTGCGAGTTCATTCGCGCCAAGATGGCCCGCGCCAAGATGGCTTACGCCAAAGTGTCCCTGCGCCAAAATGTCTTGCACCAAGTCGGCCGCGCCGAATTGGCCTAGACCGGCACTAGGATAATAAACTACGAAAAACAGAAAATTAAAAAAATTATTGCGAAAAACCACATTTAACAAAATTTGATATTAGTTAAATGTTGTTTACTTTTATACTGAGGGAGCACTCTGATGATTTGGGCAGACGTAACTACAAAACTACAGAATTCAATGGAGTGAAAAATGCAACAGAACGTTTGTACCGATTTTTTTGTCTCCACACTCATATTGAACATATTCTGTAATCTATACCAATGCTTTTTCCAAGAAATAATGGTATACAGTGTAACTAGTTCTTTATTTCTTTCCTGTTTCCACGTTCCTTCGAATTCCCAAAGCGTTAACGTAGTAAATATTCCATCATATTGACTGATATCGAGTGATATCAAAGAAGCCATCCCTTGATTTTAGTAATGTACTTACTTTTACTTACATTTTAAACTGTACCATCTATATATAGTATAAGTCTTAAAAAACAATTAATACATTTATTGCATTCTGAAACTATATTAAATCAACAATGAAATATTATTAAAAAATTAACAAACTTTCTTTAGAAATAGTAATTGTACTTAATAAAGATTATTTTCTGATGTTATCAACAAGGCATTATTTCCCAAAAGTAAAATTTAAGGAAACAACAAATTATGAACATTGATTTCCTAAGAGTCTAAACCACGTTTTTCTATTTTAAACAGTATTTAAAATTTTGCAAAAATAACAATAAAAATTTTACTTAAGAAAAGATATTTTTATTGGCTTTAGAATTTTAACAACCAGCAAAAATACCTTTCTCGCACAACTACTTCAAAGTCCTTTGATTTTAAATAGGTATATGCACATACATACATACATGATTAGACATAAATTGACCCTGACCCGACGTTATACAGTGACGATGCTTTGTTTTAAGCGAATATCATCATACCACAATATTTTAAACACAAACACTTAACGCATTTATTCCACAGTAATTTATCTACAGATTATGCGATATGTATCTTACATATGTATAAACACTAAATCTAATCACATTATTCTTTACGAAGTATATGTGATTGTAAATTCGAAAAAGATTGGTTCCACTAGGTTTCGTACGTTGTTGTTATATTTTCGACAGCTACATTCTCTCTTTACAGTAAGAACTAATAATTTAGTTCCTATTTGTATGGCATTCCCAATACAATAGTTCAAAAAAGTAAAAATTAAAAATTACACTCGAGTTGAATCACTTATATACCTAATCGGTTATTTTTGTATTAAATTACAAATTTAATCTGAATGCTGTATCTAATAAATACGGAAACTGGGATAAAGCAATTATTTCACGGAATTTGGCACTTCAGAAATTTGGAAAAACTTATCTTATATAAAACTTTCCGTTGTTAAACGTTTCTACAACTGTACTTAAAACAAAAATATGTGTTTATTATTATCGTACTTGGATAATAATTACTTTTGTGATTTGTGGTTGTCTGCTACTACTGACTGCTTTTATTTGAATAAACTTCAAAAGATATATAAATTTTAGATAGAACTTTTTTTGGTGATATAGGTATATAAGAAACAAAACCTTAGTTTCAGGATCTGACTTTATATAAACTATTGTTCAAATGTGTCGACCGTTCATTATAAACCAAATTATATCACTTTCAAACTGAAGGAATAAAAGAATCTCATATTAAGTATTTTTAAATACCATAAAACAAATTATCATGTCCATTTTTATCGATATTCATCATCAAGCAAATTTTCAATGTTAAAAAAAAACTGCTCGGTATTCGAGATATTTTTACATTTGTGCAAAATCGTTACCATTTCTTTAAGATAACACCGACCGAATTTACCCTAGTAGTGCTAGCACCTATGTCAATACTTCTAGTTTGTTATATTTAAGTAACTATGAATCATAATTTAGTAAAAAACTAAAAAAGAGTCTCTTGTGCCCTCGGCTCATCAATATTAATAGAAGATGTCGACGATTTCCGAGTACCATCAGTCACTGTTTCTTCAGGTTGTTCAAGATTCTCGACAACTGTCAAAGAAGACTTTGATGAAGACTTAATGCTAATTTTTGGCGACATACAAGAAGGTCCTTCGTTAACAGGTGTGGGTACTAACGAATCACAAATATTGTCTTTCTTTTTTCTCCTATTATAACAAGCTCCCGCATCACTTAAATCGCTATCAGTCGAAAACTGCTCCACTTCGTCATCTGTACTATCTCTATCTTCTTGAAAAACGGAATCACTGGTATACGATGCTACATCCAAGTCTGTATAGTCAGCACCTAAGGAACTATTGCAACTACTTATAGATGCTAATGGTGCTAATCGAGGTATTAAATTTGGTGGCTCTGTGACGTGATCATACAGGGCACGGTCACTCCCACAAGGTGATCCACCAGGTGTCGGTTGAATGACTTTAATGTCGATTGGATAATAAAAATCGTAGATTTCTAGAAGCGGTGAGGATTGACGTCTACGACTTTTAGATTTGTGGCCCGGCAAAACTGGAATTCCGAGAGCTACGGCTGAATCGCGCCGCTCTAAATACGAACTTCCTGAAGAAGAACATGTTATATTGCTCGATCTTCGTGGGACGTCTAGATGTCTGAAACAAAAATTAAAATCAGTTAATTATTCTTTTTTTCACTAGCAGTCATGAAGCAAATGTCGACTCTTTTAGAGGTAGCAAAGTTCAGCTTTTGCGACCAAGGTTCAAAAAGAAGATTGAGGTTATGTATGAAATACTTGATGTGATTATTTCTTAAAAAATGAATAAATGTGTGCTACAAACATTACTTGAGTATACGCATGGTAGTTGGTAGACGGTAGAAGATAAAATGATTAATTCAGCGACAAGTATAAACGGTTTTCTTTGTGTTGAAGATTTAGATTAAGTTTGATTAGAAATCAAAACAAAATCATGTTGCGTCAAAAAATTTAACGTTTATTTTTTCAGTTTATTGTCTTATGGTTTCTACTAGTGAAAAAAATAGTATATTAACGACGGTTGTAAAGCCACTTTTAGACCTCGCGCTTCAGAGCCCTCGACGCTGCGCGTCTTGGGTTCTAATTTGACTGCATGCCTATTATGTTTTTTTTCGCAGTAGATTTCAAAGCATTCGGTTTTGTAGTTCCTGAGTAAATCAATAAAATAAATTTACGCATTCATTTTTTCTTTTGAGTCATCCGGTATACGCAAATTCAAAAAATATGAATGGGATAATAAATTACAAGTACAGACTCATCATATTTCGTACAGTTTAGACAGGATTTATTCGGTAAACTTTTAAGCTGACGTCATCAATTTTTTGGAGGGGATAAGCAAATATATTTTGACTAAACAATTATTATGCTTTTTATAACCTTAAAACATCTGCAAGATTTCAAAGCATTCGGTTTTGTAGTTCCTGATTAACTCAATAAAATAAATTCACGCATTCATTAATTTTTTGGACTCACCCTGTATATGCAAATCGAAAAAATTTGAATGGAATGATAAATCACAAAAGAGACTCACCATATTTTGTACATTTTAGATAGGATTTATTCAGCAAAATTTTGTGATGACGTCATAAATTTTTAGGGGGGACGACCAAATACATTTTGATCAAAAATTTACCATGCTTATGATAATTTTAAAACATCTTCAAGATTTCAAAGCATTTGGTTTTGTAGTTCCTGAGTAAATCAGTAAAATAAATTTACGCATTCATTAATTTTTTTGAGTCACCATGTATATGCAATTCCAAAAAATATGAATGGAGTGGTAAATCACAAGTACATACTCATCATATTTTGTACATTTTAGATCGGATTTATTCGGCAAACTTTTGAGCTGACGTCATGAAGTTTTTGGAAGGGATAACCAAATATATTTTGACTAAAAATTTATGATGCTCTTTATAGCTTTAAAACATCTGCAACATTTCAAAGCATTCGGGTTCCAAAAATCTGGACGTTTCGGGTAAAAACTCAATTTGGAGTCGTAAACTACATGTGTAGAACTATGTTATTTTATACAATTTAAAACCCATTTACTATGTACAATTTTGAATTGACGTCATCTTATTAGTGGTGGGGATGATTAGACAAATTTTGGTTAGCGTTTTACCATCTAGATGATATTCCTAATAAGTATAAGTACAAAATTTCACAGCAATCCTTCGAGTACCTACTTTCGGAGATTATCTGACTAATAAAAATCGGGGACGGCAGGGGGACGGACAGACGGACGGAAATGGGAGACCTATTTCTTGGTCTTCTAGGGGTCATGAAATATCAAGAAAACGTAGAAGTAGAGAGTCGGCCGACGGACTCGATTACAATACTTCCTTTGCTTACGCTCGGGAAGTAAAATGAATAAATGTGTGCTACTAACATTACTTGAGTATGCGCATGGTAGTTGGTAGACGGTAGAAGATAAAATGATTAATTCAACGACAAGTGTAAACGGTTTTCTTTGTGTTGAAGATTTCGATTACGTTTGATTAGAAATCAAAACAAAATCATATTGCGTCAAAAAATTTAACGTTTATTTTTTCAATTTATTGTCTTATGGTTTCTACTAGTGAAAAAAATAGTATATTAACCACGGTTGTAAAGCCACTTCTAGACCTCGCGCTTCAGAGCCCTCGACGCTGCGCGTCTCGGGTTCAAATTTGTGCTCGGTCTAGAACCTTGCAACTTTGGCTAATAATATACTATTTTGATGCTGTACGTATAAAACAGAATTGAAGCGAATATTGTTACCAACATCTAAGGAGGTACCTACTAATATGCAATCAAGAAATAATTAGTGTTATGTGATGTATAATCATTAGAAATTATTGTTCTTACCATTGATAGTTACAGGGGTTTAGCCAACGTTTTTTCATGACGACTTTTTTTAGTTTCGTGATTCAATTTAGGTTAAATTATTACAGCAAAGTTAGAGTAGCCTCATGTTTGTTAATTATAATACTTGTACAAAGATTTAATGTAACACATGTGATACAAATGTAAATTCAAATTATTTTGTGTGTGCGGTCGTCCTACAGAAGCTGGCTACAATCGAGGCTTACCGCTTATCGCAGTTACAAAACATGCGATCAGACTCGCCGCCAGGCAAATCGTCGCGTTCGCGATCGCGATTCCGTCAACGAGTGAAAGGCGACAGCGGTATCTGCTGATACCACTGGCGTTTCGGCGACAAGTCAAGAAGATGCGACAAGCCGTGTAGGTACAGTTCCATACCGGCGGGAAACGCCGAGGGCAGTCGTTAATGATGGCCGTTGACGCCTGCCCCAGCACCCCTACAACAACGTCGAACCGTTTATTCGTCACAGAGAGGACAACAGGAAAAAAAAAATCCTCATCGACACCGGCGCCGATCTGTGTGTATTCCCGCATGCCCTGCTGCCAAAACCACGTACGAAGTTCGCATATGAACTTTCCGCGGCAAACGGCAGCGTCATCGCAACGTACGGAACCATCACGTTGTCATTGAATTTGGGCATACGGCGCGATTTTACGTGGAGATTTGTTGTCGCGGACGTGGTAAACCCAATATCGGAGCCGACTTCCTGACTCACTACGGACTCTCGGTGGAGATCAGAAACCAGCGACTGCACGATCAAATTACCCAACTCACTTCCACCGAAGAGGTGACTAAGTGTGCGATCCCAAAGTTCATGGTCTTCACCTCTTCACATGGTGCCCAAGAAAGGCGACGAATGGAGGCCATGCGGGGATTACCGTGTCCTCAACGCGAGAACCTGCCCCGACAGGTACCCGGTGAGGTACATCCAAGATTTTGCGCAATCTTTACACGGCGAAATCATATTTTCAACCATCGATCTGGTACGCGCATTCAACCAGATCCCGGTCGCAAAAGAAGACGTTCCGAAGACTGCCATTACCACCCCATTCGGCTTGTTTGAATTACGACATCTTCGCCGTATCCGCGTGTTTCAGCGTTTAAGAGAGTACAGCGTCGTTATCAATTCCATGAAATGCGTCTTCGGCCAGCCAGAGGTCAAATTCTTAGGATACCTCGTTTCCAGCGCAGGTACACGTCCACTTCCAAAAAAGGTCGAAGCCATCCGCAGCTTCCCGCACCCAAATAAAGTAAAAAAATTGCGTCAGTTCTTGGGTATGTTGAATTTTTTTAGAAGATTCCTATCTAAGGCGGCAGAGACGCAAGCACCTTTGAACGACCTCCTCCAGGGCAACGTCAAAGGAAAAGCTCCGGTCAACTGGACACCAACAACGGTGGCCGCATTCGAGGCGTGCAAGGCAGCCCCTCGCCGGAGCCACATTATTAGCTCATCCCGAGCCGAACGCATTGGCTATTTTTTCGGACGCGTCAGATTTCGCCGTCGGAGCAGTCCTCCAACAGAAGGTCAATGATCACTGGCCACCATTGGACTTCTTTTCCAAGAAACTGAGTCCCACCGAGTCAAACTACGGGGCTTATGATCGAGAATTGCTAGCCGTTTATCTCGCGGTCAAACATTTTAGGCACATGGTGGAAGCGCAGTCTTTCATCATCTATACAGACCACAAGCCGTTCACGTACGCCTTTCAAAAGAAGAATACCGAGTCCTCGCCCCGCCAAATACGACACCTAGACTTCATCAGTCAATTCACTACTGACATTCGCCACAATGCAGGGAGCGAAAATGTTGTGGCAGATGCTCTTTCCCGTATCGAGGCCTTTCAGACCTCGATTGATTTCCAGGCTCTGGCAGCAGCTCAACAGCAGAATGAGGAACTTGAAAGATTTCAGACAGGGAATACAGGCCTTCAGAGTGGTACGAATCCCAGTATTCTGCCACGTCTCCACGCGAACAGCGCGTCCTTTCGTGACCGAGTCGTTTCGCCGAGCTTCATTCGAATCAATCCACCGTCTAATCCATCCAGGCATTAAAGCCACCGTAAAACTGGTGACGCAACGTTACGTCTGGCCATCAGTCAAAGCAGATTGTCGAGAATGGGGCCGCAACTGCGTAGAGTTTCAGCGTTCAAAGACCTCACGCCATGGCTCTTCGCCCGTCGGTACGTTCTCGCCACCATCAGCCCGATTTGAGCAAGTGCACTTGGACATAGTAATTGTGCCACTCTCAGAGGGTTGTCGTTACTGCCTTACAATGGTAGATCGGTACACCCGCTGGCCGGAAGCCGTACCAATTAGCGATCAGGAAGAGGTAGACAATTCGAGTCGTACCTATTTAAACAATTAAATTGTTTATTAGGAACCATTCATTTGAGAACTACAGCCTACCATCCCTCAGCCAACGGAATGGTTGAATGCCTACACCGACAGCTAAAAGCAGCAATCATGTGCCACCAGAATAATCGCTGGACTGAAGCCCTATCCACCGTCAGCATGGCAAGAAGACTTCCAGGGTTCCTCCGCGGAGCTCGTATATGGTCAACCTCTCCGCCTGCCCGGTGAATTCCTAGGCATCCCACGCGACGAAAGCAACGCAGACAACAGCACGGTAAGCTTCGTCAAAGAGTTACGTCAATGCGTGCGTAACTTGAAACCATGTGATGGAACGCGACACGGAACAAAGAAGGCTTCGTTTTCAAAGATCTCGCCACCTCCGAACAAGTTTTTGTACGCCCCAAGCAGCCGCTTCAACAGCCATACGACGGTCCGTACAGAGTCGTAAGGCGATCGGCGAAAACGTTCGTCTTCAACATAAAAGGTCGAGATGTCACCATTTCCACAGATCGGCTCAAACCCGCGTGTATACTAAATGACGACACGCCCACGTCATGGTTTGGCCGCGACACTACGAGGACGACGCCTACAACAGAGGAACCAGCGCCTTTCGCTGTTCAACCACACGACGACGACGACGAGGTGCCAGCGTTCACAACAGCCAGGACCAGTAGGTCAGGAAGACGGGTGCGCTTCCCTGAGCGCCTGCAAAGCGGTTTTCCATGAAAAACTCTAGCAAGGGGGTACTGTAGGAACAATCGTTCCCACAAAATCACATGATCTACCCAAACTCATTCATAATTTATGTAAATATGTACAAATGTAAATACGTCCTATCTTTCGTCTACCTGCCCTATGCTCCTACTTTCTCTTCCAGTTTCTAGAATTTTCTAAACTCTTTCTTTACCGGCTTCCACCTCTCCAAAACCGAACCTACCTGTCGACAATTTCAAACACCGTTTCAAAATCTTCCCCCTCAAGCTCTCAAATCGTAAGTAACTAATAAAAATCTGAAAACCGTAACCGTCGCTATTTTCTAAAAATCACCAACGATACCCACAAAGGTAACAAAAACAGTGCAATATTTCAGGGTGGGCAGTTTTTTTGCCGATCAGTATATATTAAAATTGTGTTACAATACAATACAATTAATTATGACATTGTTGTGTCGAGTTGACTTCTTTTTCAAAAATAACTTGAAAGTATGAACTACCTCACTCTAATAATAAAAAACTTAAACAAAATTTTAAATGGATTATAAAAGATAAATAACAGAAAGATGTAACTTAAAAAATGATAATTTTGGTACTATTGGCCATTTTCTACGAAAAGAAGATTAATCATTAGTCACTCAAGACAATGGGCCGTATGATTAAAAGTGAGCATTTGCTCGTACTCGTTGTTTTTGGAGCATATGCTTCGCTATATATGAATAAAACAGTGAGCAAACGGTTTTGCTCATACTTTGGTGTTGGAGCTTGAGCAAGTGCTCTAAATTTGAAGTAGCTGCTTACACTTGAGCAAATGATATGAATAAAAGAGAGCGTTTACTTACATTATGGAGCACTTGCTCACAAATTGATGCGTCTGCTATAAAGGAGACGCAACTTCTGTTGGATGGAACAGTATTTCGGAAAATGGCAGACATGGTTGTTCTACGAAAAACTAAACATTATAAGGAGCGTAGGGAAACCAACATAGGTGACTATAAAACCTTGTACAGGTAAGCGTAGAACATTTGTCATTATAAGTATATTACGATTAATAGCACGTATTGCAGATTTTCTGCAGAAAATGTTACTTGGTTAGCAGATTACTTTTTAAATGATTGTACTGAAACCAGGGGAGGTGCTTTGTCGCCAAAAATGAAAATGAAAATTTTTTTGAGGTGTTTGGCCAATCCCGGTTTTCAGTCAGGAATAGCAGAAGAATTAGGCGTTCATCAGTCGACAGTATCAAAACTAGTTACATTTGTCACAACAAGGGTCACAGCAAAAGTTTCATCATGGATCAAATTTCCTCACACTGAACAAGATATTTTGCAGGCTTTAGAAGACTGGCAAAATGTCAATCACTTTCCGGGGGTCATTGAGGTCATTGATTGTACCCATATTAGAATTGAAAAACCAGGTCGTCATGGGGATGAATATATCAATAGAAAAGGATGGCCCAGTATCAATGTACAAGCGACTTGCAACGCCCAAGAAATGTTTACAAGTGTTGATGCCAGTTGGCCAGGTTCGTGCATGATACTAGAGTATGGAAAAACTCCACAATTCGGGAAGTTATGCAAAAGTTTCCGAATGCTAGCTTATTGGGGGATCAGGGATATGGCTTGGAACTGTCACTATTGACACCATATAGAAACACAGATACCGAAGCAAAAATACACTATAATCGGCTGTTGAAACGAGAACGTTGCATTATTGAACGCTGTTTTGGCCAAGTGAAACGGCGATTTCCTATACTGAAATATATATGCAGATTAAAACTTAGGAGAATATCACGTATTATTATTTGTTGTTTCATCATGCACAACATTTATTTATTATTTTTATTATTATTATTATTATTAACATAGCAAAACATCTTAAAGATGAAGAGTTTCCTGAAGAAGAAGAAGATGAAGACGACACTGATGAAAATGAAGACGACAATCAAAATCAACATATCCCTGACAACGAGATGTTGCAACGTGCACGTGTAAAACGAGATGAAATTGCTGATATAATTGTTCGACGTCACCTTTAATAGAAGACGTTTCTTAATTAAAACAGACAAAAAAGAGTTGAATATGCATTGTTAAATATCGTTTATTTGGCATAATACACATATTATCACTGTCAGTTTATTCCAGTCGTTCGATTTTCTTCAAAATATACTCTCTTTGCATCCTTGCGGTTTTTAGTTGCTCCAACAACACAAGTCTTTGTAGTTCCGTTGTGGTTAAACTGTGTGTTTCCTCAGTCTTGTAGTTGTAAAGTTTTGACTTCTTGGGCTCGGGAGAACGTCTACTCTTTTCACAGTTCTTTTTCTCTCTGTGTTTGGGCTCACATTCTTGTGCCCTTTTCGCCATACCTGCTACAGCAGGTTCTACAAAAAATGTTATTTTATAGAATTATAGAGTTTATTATGTAAAAGGGTATATTATGTGTATTAAACACAGATGCGATAGGTACCTACCCGGAATTTTGTTCATTGCTGGATTATCATCTCCTTCAAGTATCTTATACAAGACCTTCTCCCACTCATGCAAAGTAATGCGTTTGTTTCCGGTCTTCTGTTTGTCGGTCTTCTTCTTGAGCCGCGATTTCAAATTGTTAATTTTTTTTCTTCAACTGTTGTTGGCTGATGCGAAGCCCTAAGTGGACTTCATACAATTCCACCACCTCCAGTAAGGATTTTTCTTTTTTTGCTTTTTCATTTGGTAACTGAGATTTTGATAGTAATTCAGGTCGTTTTTCGATTTCTCGGACTATAAATAATTGGGAATTTGCAGTTTTCCCAGCACCGGACCCCGGCGATTCACAGCCACTTGACGAACTCATCTGTACCATGCACTGATGATAACCGAACTAAATGAAAATCATGGATAGCGAATTGTGGTTTTTTAAATAATCTCTTCATGGTCGTCGTTCTTATACGAAATAAGCTATCGATGGGTGTTTTTATGAAGATAACGAATATGAGCGTTTGCTCCAGAGTAAGAAGCAAATGCTCTTAAGTAAAAGGTTTAGTTTATTCATACTGATTGAAGTATGTGCTCATACTCGTACTTTTTACTCTAAGCATGTGCTCATACTTCGTACTCATGCTCACGAGCAACTGCTTCTTTTTATTCATACGGCCCAATGTTATTAATATACGCATATTTAACCGTGATTACTTACCCATTGTAGTAGACATCATCATATAAAGATCGATCTTCTTCAGGAGGTGAGTCTTCGTCAATAAAACACGGCAGTCTTGAATGTGTGCGTGTCGGAGGTTCCATCAAACTGCTGTATCCACCCACAGAGGAAAACCTCGTGGTGGTTTTTATCCATCCAGGGGGTATACTAGACGTATCCAAAGATCTTCTGCCTTTCCTCGGATTCAACTGTTGATAAGCCGTCGCTTCTAAAACAGCAGCTAATTGTCTTTCTTCTTCTTCTACTTCAGCAACTGCCGCCGCTGTAAAATCAGGATCTTCCAAGGCTTTTTCAGTCTTTGATTTGGATTTATATAAAACAAGAAGAACCATCAAACCAAAAAAACCACCGAGCGTAGCGGCTATACGGACTCCTGTCATAACATCGTAAGTCTTGTAAAATTCCATTTCGATTTTGTTTCTCTCCACTGGATCGAGTGTTGTAGAGGAAAGAGGCAGTATTGTGGTATTTTCTCCTTGTGAGCCATTTGGCTCCGCCGCCATCACGTTCGTTGAATCACTGCAAACAAAAAGTAGATCAGCCGAGAATTATATTTAAAATCGAAAAAATTGGTCTAAGGCTATTTAGATAGAATTTTTCTCGCCCCTGACGTACAGCTTCTTCGTAAAATAATATAATAATATAAAGATATGTGTGGACTGACCTTAAAGTACAGTTAAAGAAGTATTTTGTGCGCATGTTTCACTGAGTTTTTCAATAACTCAAATTTGTGATGATTACTGATTAACATTTTAGCAACGGCATGTATTTCAATTTGAATAGTTGCAGTTTAATACTAATAATAACAGTATTGCATTCTCAAATTTTCGGGAAAATGGAGCCAGCCAATCGTTTTTGATTTGATCAGTAAAAAAATTGCAAATGCTGTGAATAGAACCTGGGGCTTTTCATAAGCAAAGCGAACGCGTTTTAAGAGCGGTGGTATTAAGTATTTAATGAACAGCTTTATTATGGAATAAACAAAATCAAGTTGGATCCATAAAACATAAGTATTGAAGTACCTATGTATGTTATTTCATGAAATTTAAGTAACATTTCTTATGAAAAATTTTGAGATGACGTCATCAAATTGTTTGTCAATAGTTTCAGAGATAGGTACTCCGTCTAATAAAATGGCCAACAGGCCACAGATGGACGACAGATTACAGACGAAAGGAAACTAGACCTAATTTTTCATACTTTAGGGTTCATGAAATATCTAGAAAACATGGAAGTAGCCGAACGGACCATACTGTAAGATCACTTTAAATGTATACTAATAAAATTTTATGACATAATTCGGATTATTTGGTTGATAATGCCGAGTCGGCTTTCCGTTTTCTTTTATTTTCTTGTTTTCGCGGGGCTCACCGCATGGAGATCCGTATCTCCGGCTTGAGAGCAACCCCGGTGTCTGAGCGACCGCCGCCCCTGACCGAAAACGCCACCTCCGGTGGCGTGAAGGTGTCCGCATAAGCCTAGGTCAGCCAGATGTGTTTATATTTCAGCGGCACTAGTCGGCCCAAGGCTTGGCACCGAGGCAAGCCGCCCCCACGCGTTATCGGCGAAATTCCGGATCGTCACCGTCCTGTCCCACCGGAATTTCGTTGCAAGATGATGAAATTTAGATGACAAAGTTAGAGAACAACTTCATCAACGGAAAATGTTTTACGGTTCTCATTTCCTTCTTGTTACCTTATATTAATATTTATGTACGTCCAAAGCTAGACATCTAACATGAAAAGTATCAAATTTCTGGTAAATTTATTGTATATAAAATTTGCCGATTGTCTACGAATTACAAATTAACAATCACTCTTGTCTCAAATAAAAGGATTGTTTACTGTGACAAATGTGACCTCCTAGATAATATAATTTGCATAGACTAAAAAGGAAATTTGTAATTGGTCTAAGTTTGTTTAGATAGAAGATCCCTCGTCCTTGAAGTACAGTGCAACATATCCAGCTTTTTCGAAAAATTATAAAATTTGATTTTCCGAATTTTACTTTTTTATTTGACCCCTAAAACCTGGAGTAAAGATATTGTGTACGCCTATGTTTCAAGTGAGTGATGACGTTTACAACATTTTAGCAAGAACACCCATATCAATTTGGATAGGTGCATTACTGCATTCCAAATTTTTTTTTTAAATTATGTGAGCCGTTCTTAATTTGACTCATAACATTTTCTACATTTTAAATAGGATGTAGATAAGGGTAGGGGATAAACGCCAATTTTGATTAACGATGTACTGTGCTTTACCTTTAAACGTTACCAAGAGTTTCAAGTTAAACTGTACAGTTTTGATTTTTATTCCAAAAATTTGGATGTCGAGGGTTAAAAAATGAAGAGGAATTCATAAACCACAAGTGTAGGAGTATGTTGTTTTATATAATTTAAACAGATTTGCTATGTAAAATTTTGAGGTGACGTCATCAAAAATCTACACAATTTTATCTCGTTTATCATTGCATTCATATTTTTGAGAATAACTTAGAAAGGGTGGAACAACTTTTAGTAAAAAATATGAATGAGGCAATTAAAATTATTTTTAAAACTGTAACACTGTTGCCAGTAACTTCACTGCAAAGCACTGAAATAAACAATTATATACTTACATGATGTTGGAATTTTTTTTCTAAATATATAAAACATGGAATGCTTTAATAAAAAATGTGAAGTACATATACAACGCGATCCAGAACTATGGAATAATGAATATAAAATGACGCAACATAATATAAACTGGTCATTTAAAGAATACCTGTTCCTTTCAGTTAAAGAATTGCTGAACTTGAAAAAAATGATTATCTGGCAAGTTACACTTTAGTATTTTACTCCATTTCGATTATTTCACTAGAAAAATTTGTCATCCTCATCGTCCTCTGATTTTAATTCGGAATCAGATTTACCTAGTGAAATAATGAAAGGAAGAATGTTTTCATAAGAAAAGTTTCCCATATGTTTTTGTGTGGCAAAATAAATTTTTCACAATGTCCACAAAAATTTTGCCACATGTTTGAAATACATTTCATTCAAACCATAAATTCTCCACCCTATCCTTGGATGAAGGTTGAGAATGTATATATGTGCTTGTTGTAGTAATTCTTTCAAAACCCCAATGCCATTTCAATCGTGTTGTATTGACAATGGTATGGGGGTAATCTAAAAATTTTCAATACCACTCTCTCTCAGCCAAAAAACGCTTTTGTGTATTTGTCCTAAAAGGTTTAATTAACATTTAAATGAAGGCAATTTTTTAATGCAGCAAGAAGACAGGAAACAATCATTTCAAAAGAATATTAATCGTTTGAAAATAAAATATTGTATTTCATTTGGAGTTTAAGTAACTTTATGTGAATTTACTTACACAAAACGAAACAATGCACTGTTCAACAGAGCTAACATGCAAACTTAAACTGTAAAGGTTATATAAACTGTCATGCACCTAAAAAAGTTCTGTAGATGGTCTCACGTGAATATTTATTAAGATTTATTTTATTATAAGTATCGTTTACCGCAGGAATATAAATTGGTTGATAAACGGAGGCAACTGTTGTCAATTATTTTGTAACTGACTTATCATACCGAGTATAAATTTGTTAAGAATAAGTTAAAATAATTAAATGGCAGTGTTAAGAACAAGAAATTTTAATCGCACGTTTAACATCAGACAAATATTAAATGCAACGGCGCGACGTCAGGCGATAAATTTGGCTGGCCGACTGTGCAGTCTCAAACTCAGTGGCGTTGGGTTCAATTCAGTGTTCATCTAATCAAGATCATCACGAAAATTGTTATGTTGAACGGTCATTGTTAATTTTTAAAGCAATTTTAACACCTAAGGGAACTCGTATAACTGAAGAAAACCTAGAAAAAGTAGCAATTGTTACTAAGAATTCCCGACGTTACAGCAGAAAATGTGGCCGCGATTGCAATAGCCGCTGGCAGTCGGACGGCAATGAGCATCACTTACGTGATGCCGAAACCTGCAAATTACTTACAATGATAAATGTTTCAAATTTGGTTAGAATGTACATCCAGCTGGACCAAAGATACTAGTATTAACGTGCACACCCACACAATAATATTTTTGCAATATATTTAATCAATTCGAAATACATTTATTCAAGCTATTGGTTACACTTTGTTTCATGCTCATGGAGGCCGCTGCGAAGGATTAGGGCCTTCTCAGTGCTTGCAATATACAATTAGATATGCGTCACAAAAATTGTCTCAACAATGATTGCAAGTACATACATTTTTTGTACCACCTGAAATAAAGATAAACTGTATGTAAATAACAACCTTTTAAATTTCCGCATAAGTAAGTTGTACTTACAAAACGGTTAACTAGGTTTTGAGACAATTTAATTACTTTGTAGTATTAAATTAGACGGACTTGCTGTGCAAAGTTTTCATATAAAATTACGTGGGTGTATTATATTCCTCGAATATACGATGTAGTACAGAAGTTCTCTAAGCGTGATTGCTTTTCGTTTCAGAGGGGACCTTTAATGTGATGATTTTAGAAAGATCTTACGAATGTATTTAATTTTCTCTTCCCGAGCTGTGGAAGTATTGTAATCGAGTCCATCGGGCGAAGTTACTAGATTGATTGTCACATTTTATATGTATTATGAATATCATGTAGATGGTAAAACGCTATCCAAAATTTCTGTAATCATCCCCACCAACAATGTGATGATGTCATCTCAAAATTGTACATAGTAATAAGTAAATGGGTTTTGAATTGTAAAAAATAACATATACGTGTAGTTTAGGAATCCGTTGAGTTTCTACTCAAGACGCTAGATTTCTGGAACAAAATCAAAATGATATAACAACATTTTACAATGTAATTTTAAGTTGGTAGAACCGAATGCTTTGGAATCTTGCAAATATTTTAAAGTTTTTGTAAGCATCGAAAGTTTTTAATCCAAATGTATCTGTTTATCCCCCCCCCCCCCAAATTGATAACGTCATCTCAAAATTTTGCCGAATAGATCCTATCGAAAATGTGCAGAGTATAATGGATCTAACTATTGGGTGCATGTCATAGACAAAACTAGAGTACTCGCATGATACATCAATGAATACCGAAACAAAAAAATCTCCAGAAAATTCTCCAAAATAAATTCATATCCATTCATTCATCGTCGCGGTGAAACAGTATATGTGAACAAATTCATAGAGAAAACAATCGTGTAGAAGTAGGACATGCGGAGGGCGGCTGCAGGGAATCACTCGACCAGATGGACAGAGGATAGCGACAATTATGAAACCAATACGAAAAAAATTTTGCTTACTGAGGTTGTGCTTTCCTATGTTTATCACCTGTGTCATTATCATTTCTGACCAAGGATATGACACATATATATTGTTACGAAATAAGCCCATACGCCGCCCCGGTACGACGCCTATGTGTCTTCTAGTATGTACGCGTTGTTTCTCGTATATAGTCTGACTCATCGCCCGTGCGGATACAAGCGGATGTCGCGACGAGCCCAGAAGAAGT